TAATATATCATGCATAACGAACAAGTCTTAAAATTACACGAATAGATCCATAAAAATTAACCAATCAGACGAATTTTTTATATATCTATCTCGCCAATAGAACAGCTCCTAATTGCAAGGAGTGACCAATTTGTTATAGGAACCATACCTAAAATTCTACCTTATAACATTTATTTTAAGTGATCTCTTTTTAATAATATTTAGGGTTAGGCTGAATTCTAATATTGCCCTTTTTTTCATGTTGTGATTGGTACGTACGTATAGGCCATAGGTAAAATCTCTAAAGTATTTCTTTTACGAGCTATACATACTATCGGAATTTCTACTACACATTATTAATTGTAAGTTACATATTTTCTATATACTCCAGTTAATCCCAATAAGTCATTTCACCAACATCACTAGGTGGCAATTTAGTATGTTATTAGTTTTAGCATACATAATTTGCAAATTATCACGTTATGTGATATCGGTTATATGACTTTTTGGTAAAATATTATCAGTGAACCTGTACATTTCTCAATAGCAAAGCATATTTTATAAATTTTAATTATTTTACAATAAGTTTTTGTTTATTCAAATGTTTAAGATATTGTAAAAAATTTTTTTATAATAAACCTGCAAAATTGAAGCATAAGATCAAATGCATATTTGCAATCATTATTAAAAGCAATTCTTGCAAGATCAAAATATATAATAATAACTAAGGTTTTTTACATTAAAAGTAATTAATTTTACTCTTGTTCTAAATTTCATAAGCAAGAATAAAAAAAATTCTTTTGCCTAATCAGAGTTCTTGCCAATCAACAAATTACATTATACATGTAATTCAGTTTAAATTTCATCCAGTTTAACTTAAATAATAACCGGTTTTATTTCACATATAAATCAAATTCGATTCTTGAATTTACAACCGGCCCCGTTCTCTAGCTCAAAGGCAGAACATTTAAAACAAGTTATAATTGTTTTCTTTTAAAAATATAAATTTGACAAGGTAAAATTTGAACCTATTTAACATAATATAATAAAATTTAGAGAAATTAATGTTCGAATTGTAAAGATTTATACAGTATTAAATAGACCCAGAATTTCAACTTCAGCTATCATAATTATTGGTAAATTACTGTATCGAAATATAAATCGCACAAGTCATAAGTTAAATGACTGAAGATAGTATTTTCGTTCTGCGACGCAAAGAAAAAATTGCATGAACGAAATATTTAAACGTATAAATTAAACTTAACAAATTCGAAATTTAAAAATATCTTACAATTTATTCGTTATAAAGTTGAAAAAAAAACCAAATATTTAAGCTATATTTTTGATTTTAAAAAAGATTGAGGAATCAAATCTAAGACATTCAAGACCAATATATTTGTAAAAAAAAATATATCATAATCTGATAAAAAATGGTACAAATCACAAATAGAATAATCACAAAATTAATCTTAACTTAATTGCCCAATCAAAATAGCATCCACAACAGATCCTTTATCTAATTCTTTACATTGATCAGTTCTTCCTGGTAACTTTAACAAAGCATTACAACTTCTCAAACTAAGCATTCGGCTACTAATTTGATGTCCTGTGGAAATTGCCATAAATTTTCCTTTTGAGTGATCAAATGAAATCACAGCTCGATGATATTCAGGACGAGGATCAAGTGATATCTTGTCCGTTAACTGGTAATTATAAAATTTTAAAAAATAATTTTTTTTTTTAAAAAAAAAAAGTAGCATAATAAGAAATCCGAAAGATTTTTAATTTTACATTTATGGTAGAAGTTAATCTAAAGAACTAAGTATCTACCTCAGCAGGTAAAATAGGGGAATTCCAATTTTCATAACCAGCTAATTTCCGAAGAGCAGGTAAGACGAACAAATAGAAAGTAACAGTAGCAGAGACAGGATTTCCAGGCAAACCAAATATTAACTTTTCAGGAGCACCAGAGGTTCCTGGAAGTGTGGCAAAAGTAGTTGGTTTTCTAATCAGATAAAAACCATAATATTAATATAGTTTATGCGATAATAGAAAATTTCATTAACCTAACTATTTTACCCGGGCTTCATTTTTACTCTTCCGAAATGGATGGTCGCACCCAAATATTTTTCCAAAGTAGGTTTAAATAAATCTAATTCGCCCATAGATACACCACCAGTTGAGACTAACACATCAACCTGTGTTAAAGCTGTGCTTAACGTTTTCTCTAACTCTTTTGCACTAAACGATCAGACCGTTTGCATTAATAAGTAACAATATCATAGTAATTAAATGTTATAAATGTTATAAATGTTATCGATCTCATACTCATCAACAACGATTCCAAAATCCTTGACTTCAAAACCAGTAGCTTTTGCAATTGAAAATAAAGTAGGACGATTACTATCGAAAATTTGACCATATTTTAATTCCGAAGTACTTTTGTGATCGATAACTTCATTTCCGGTAGACAAAACGCCGATTACTGGGCGTCTATATACAGAAACCTAAAATCATTTACGGGTAACAAAATTTCAATTAAAGTTTTATACAAATTTAAATTTAATTTAAAATTAATTTAAAATTAATATAATAACAATTATTTAAAATCAATATATTAAAATTCGAAATAAATAATAAAGATAATAAGCATACTTCTTTTACACCCACAGAGGCCAAAACGCCGATTTCCCCACCTACAGCCGAAAAAAGTTCACCCTTTCTCGCAACAATGGAACCAACGCTAGTATCAGAACCAATTTCTCTAATGTTGGCACCATCATTAACTTGAACGTGAATTTCAACGGATTCCTCTTGAAGACCATCAGCAGAAGCACGTATTAGGGTAGTGTCTTCAACCATTACTATAGCAGTAGCGCCAGGAGGCACAGGACCACCAGTTGTGATGCGGACAATTTGACCAGGCAGTAATTTATCGGCAGGTAATTGAGAAGTATTTGCAATAGACGCACCAATTACGGGATAAATCCCGGGACCATCACTTGCTAGAACATAAATAAAAACACATATATCATGATATATATTATATGCGTATATATATATATAATATATATAAGAATAATCTATATAAAAGATCAAAATTAAGATATCATACCAACAACCGCATATCCGTCGAGTATGGAAGCACGATAACCTGGGACAGGTAGACGAGCGACCACATCTTCGGCCAAAACCATTCCTATCAAATTCTCATCAACAGGAACTTTAATAGGTGACAAAATATTGCTATGTTCGGAAATTATATTTAATGCATCAGTGACAGAAATCATCGGGTAGGGTGATTTACGTTGACGCTGCGGGACTAACATAAAAAGAAATATATATATATATATGAATATATTTCGGTATATATTAATTCTACCAAAAAATGTCTTTACATATTATTTATTACCGGGACCGAAAAGAGAAGTAGATGAATATTGATGCTTATCACCATGTTTATGATCATGATGAACGCATTCGTGACTCTCAACACGTAATTTAGCATGAACATTTTCACCAGTTTCACCTCTAGCTAAATCAATAGCGTGAGGTAAAACATTCAATATAGCTTGTACATTTTCTTTTGCACCTTTAGGACTTCCAGGAACTGTCAAAATTATAGTGCTGCCTCTAATTCCACAAACCGGTCGACTTAGAGCAGCAAAATCTGTTTTTTCTAAAGATGCTTTTATCATCGCATGAGTAATTCCGTTACATGATTTTTCAAATAATGGTTGAACAGCCTAATTATTCATCAATAAATTTTAGATTTTAATATTTTAGATTTTAATATTATAGACTTTAATTTAAAAAAAACAAATTCAATTGAAATTTATAATTTTACATACTTCAGGAGTTACATCACGAACACCAAAACCAGTTCCACCGGTAGTTACTACTAAATCCAAAATTTCAACATCACACCAATCTTTTACACTTTTTTGTATTTCAAAGGAATCATCCTTAACAATTTTAGTTTTTACAACAAGAAAAGGTTTTTTTGAGTGTGAAGTCTCAGAAAATAAAGTTTTTAGAGTAGGACCACTAAGGTCCTTTGTTGAATCACGTGAACAGGTATCGCTAACTAGTATTTTATTTTTTGAAATATCACTACTTGTTCTGCTTGTTAGAAATTAACTACAAATAAAATTTCAACTAAACTATATACCTGTTAAAATGCCAACAGAGTAATATTCGGGTTTTTCTGTATTTACAATATACAATAATGAAGTTAAAACTTATAATAAAGATAAATATTGTTTAAAGCTTTGAAAATGAAATACCTTGAACTACGCTCGACATTTTTCTTTTAACCAAAGGGTTTTTGTTTGAGAATTAAGTCATTCTTATAATATAATTACCGTTATCGTTATCGTTATCTGTTAGATTAGATTCCAGATTAAGAAGTTTAATTAATTTCTTATCATAAGAACTACCATATTCGGGTAAAGGTCCAGGGTGTAGAGGATATTTTCCGATCACGTGAAATGTTATCTTTAGGGTTAGCACATATATTAGGGTT